GGACGAGCACAGTCACTCCAAGGCTTAAGGTAGCTGAAGCAGAAGGCCTTGTTTATTTTTGGTCAGTGAGCCCAATGGTCCTGGGTGGGGGTGGGTGTTATATTTAACTGCTGAATTTATGCACAGCCATGCAGTGCTACCAGTTAGTCCTTACAGTTGCATGGCACCGCCCTTCAGACGCCCAGCCACAGCTTGGACATATCCTTCCACAGCCACTGTCCGGACTTGCATATAAAGTCTATGAATAATAAAGAGCAGGTTTTTATTTCAGGTCTGAATAGGATCATCTCTCACTGGAAATCTGAAAGCAAACCCATTATCTTTTAAATTACTCAGTGCTCTTGCTGGACTTTACTGACAAAAATGTAGGTGCTGCGGAGATGGGGGTCACCCTATTATTTCTGTATGTTAGCACTGAAACCGCTGACTGAGGCCCTTCAGACCCCTGGACTAGGGGAGAAAGAATAAAAGCACGTCCCTGATTTGTAAATCATGTAACAGGGAATAAAGGATTTTTTGAAGGTCATCTAAAACCAAAATTTCTTTGTAGAAAAAGCCAGTGAATTTACTTTAAGGGCAAAGGATCAGAAAACAAGAGATTAGCACTCATTGACAACAGAGAAACAGGCCACATTGATGGCAAACACCCTAAAAAAGAGAAAGACAACAAAGAGTTACTTATTGGCACCTGACAAAATGGGGATTCTCTGAACTTCTCTTTCTTGCAGAGAAGTTTCAGCTTTTGCTCTGAGCCACCTTGTCTCACTCCTGACAGTCTTAGGGGACTGCCTGACAGAAATCACCAGCTGCTTCTGGAATGTTAAGACTCATTCTCTCACCTGCTTAAGCTTTAATGCTGCCTGGACAGAGGGTCTATTTTCCATCTGCTGGGCCAGTCTTCTGTTTCTGGCACTGGCTAGCTGCTGCTGTTGCTGCATCGAAGCCCGAATATTCACTGGCATCGGCTGTTTGTTCTTCAGCATATTAGTAAAGCTTCAAGGTCGAACAAAATGGATGTTTAAATAAAAGCTTTATTATAAAACATTTATTGGCATTTTCATGGCTTGCTAGACCAGGAACTCCAGATCCCACGAACTTTTAAGTAAAGCGGTACACTTAGATCAAAGCTGATGTGGGTTAAAGACTCCTCTGCTTCCATAAACTTGCAAGAATCAGAAACTTAGAAATGCAGCTAAGTGCAGCACATTCAATCAAAAGTGATAACAAGGGCTCAAGTAACGGCTTTTAGAGAGGTGAAAGGCATGAAAAACACGCAGTAAGCAGATATGAAGACAACACGAGACAAAAGATGTAGCTTCAAAGACAAATAAAGAAAGTCAAAACCCTGGGAGAACTGAGGGTGCATTTTAAGGGCAAATATAAGGAAGGACTAGAGCACCTTCAAAGCTCATGGAAATAATGCGCCCATGTAAGTTATAGGAATGCATCACATTTTCTTATGTATTTGTCCACTTAGTTATGTGAATACAAGGAATTAGTGTATCCAAGAGAAAAGGAGCACATATGCTTCAAAAAAGGCAAAATATACGTGGTCTAAAATCACTGGCCAAAGGCTCTCAGTGAACAGAGCCCTCATAGACAAAAACCGCCTTTTAATATCTTTGATTTTCTTAGTCTGAAATGATTAAATTTTTTTTACTTCAACTATTTCTGGAAAAGTTAGATTAGTTCAACTGTTTTAAGAGTTTGTGAAGACACTCTATATTTCTGTAAAATAAGCTTAATGGAATGGAAGAGAAGAACACTTAGCTGTAAAAGAATCCAGAACAAAAACAAACGAAAAGCAGAATGGAAAGAAAGTGAAATGGAGCAAAAGCAAGTGCCTCTTACAAGGCCCAAGAATGGCATTCAAGGGCCTTTGGACATATTCAAAGCTTGCTACCCGCCTCTTACAGGCCAGACACAACACTGCTGGCCTTGGACTGGGCAGCAAGCCTACTGCAGCCAGGGTACCGTGCTACCAAGCTGCACCATCCCCGTGTCAATGTTAAAAAAATGTGAAGAAAAAAAGGGAGGGTGTGAGGAGTCTTTTTAAAATACATCCCACCAAATCAATATTTCAGACAGCTTAACATAAAAATCTACTGGTAAGGGGTTTTGAAACAACTGCCCAATTTGCTCTGTGTACCACATAAATAAGATGCAACTAAGAACAGAGAGGTCTGTAGCCTTCTGTTGGTATTTAGTTTTAAAACCGGCTTTTGTGCATTGGACCCCAAGGCCAATTTAAGGAATGTTTTCTTATGAACGAGCTGAAGTTGCTGTTCGCTGCCTCACCGCTCATTTAGAGACATCTTGGTGGTGCTTTTTAGCACAACTTTCGGTGCTGACTGTGCAGCCATCTTCAAATCCCGAGGATCTACAAAGGACAATAGGCAGAATGAGCACATCAGAAACAACAAGGGCCTCATTTCTACCGGGGCCCAAGGCAGCAGTGAGTGTGAGTGAGTGAGCGAGTGAGTGAATGAATGAATGAACAGGCCTGCACCAAAGACTCCTGAAGACCACACTGAAACTCATTCCAGGTGCTTAAGCTTCTAAGACAGTCATGTCAAACTAGCACACTTCAAGGCCAAGGGCCAGAAAATATCTGCCAAAGCCTCCCAAACGGCAGACCCAGGCCTAGCTGAAGGGAGTGTTTAAGAGTCTGGCTTTCCATCTAGCGCAGTCCTCAACCACCTTGGCTGCAAGGAGCTTTAAAAAAAAAATATGCAGGAACTTGGGCCCAAACCAATTAAACCTCGATATCGGGTGGTGAGGTCTGGGGATCAGCAACCGGAGAGGGGAAGAAAGGCTACCCCACGTGCAGCCCCGACCGAGAACCACCGGCGCAGAGAGGACACAGGCAGGCCGAGTTTCAAACTGGCATCGACTCCAGAACGAGA